AATTATAAAAATTTTATATTATTTTTTAAAAATTAATAAAATTATAATAATTTTATATTATTTTTTGAAATTTATATTTTTACATTAATTAAAAAAAAATAAATTTTTAAGTTAAAAATTTTTAACACCCTGAACCCTTGGACCCTCTACTTTTTAAGTCCGAAATTCAGCCAAAATACGAGGGTCCAGGAGGGTTCAGGGTCCGGGTTCACATCCCTGATATATATTTAAATTATTGCTCATACCAATGAAAAATGTATCTTAAACTTATAAACAGATACCGATACCTCGGGAAATTGTATATAGATACTTTTTACCCAACTCTGATAATCTTAATAAATTTTCAATAATATAATTAAAATTATTAAAAAGAAAAAAAATTTTATTTAAAAAAAGTAAGGAAAAAATTAAATATAAAAAAATTTTTTCTTTTATTTATTAAAAAAATAAGCATTTTTTTATTTGCTTCCCCAATGCTTATTTTTTAAACGTAAAATTACTCAATACATTAGCATGATTTTCTCTTTATTTATTAAAAAAAATAAGCAATATTAAATTTGCTACCCTCATGTATTTTTTTAAACGTAGTAAATATAATAGTAAATTTTTTAACGTAGTAAAAATAATATTAATATTTTTAACGTAATAAAAATAATATTAATATTTTTAACGTAATAAAAATAATATTAATAATTTTAACGTAATAAAAATAATATTAATATTTTTAACGCGCAAGGTCTAAAAGTCGAAAGGCTGCATGATACGAAAGGCTAAAAAATAATATTGAAAATAAAAATAACAAAGAAAATGATTAATGTGTAATTTGATTGATTTATTGCTTTTTTTACGAGAAAAATATTATAATAACATTACATTATAATATATTAAAAAAATGGAAATTTTAAGATCTTTTCAATTTTTTTATTAATTCTTTGAAATAAATTACGGTAATAATTTTATTTAATTTTATTAATTTTTAATTTATATTTTTAATTAAATTATATTTATTTATTTAAAAAAAATGGAATATAATATATTAAAAAAATGGAAATTTTAAGATCTTTTCAATTTTTTTATTAATTCTTTGAAATAAATTACGGTTTTAATTTTATTAATTTTTAATTTATATTTTTAATTAAATTATATTTATTTATTTAAAAAAAATGGAATATAATATATTAAAAAAATGGAAATTTTAAGATCTTTTCAATTTTTTTATTAATTCTTTGAAATAAATTGCGGTTTTATTTTTATTAATTTTTAATTTATATTTTTAATTAAATTATTTGGTTATTTTAAAATATGGGAATTTTTAAAATTATATGTATATTCTATTTAAGTTTTTTTTCAAAACTAAATTGATAGTAAGTATAACGATATTGTGAGTACTGGATTAGGGAAAAGGCTAACATCTTATATGCAATTTTGAATATTTTTATATCATTCTACTCAGAATTAAATTTCCTATCCAATTATGCTTTGATGTATTTTTTTACGTTTCCGGTTCAAAAAATAACATTTTTGTCGCGAAAACGTTCGAAGGGAAAAGGCTAACATCTTAAGTTTAATTTTTTAAATTTTTATATCATTGAACTCAGAATTAAATTTCCTATCTAAATATGCTTTGATGTATTTTTTTACGATATCGGTTCAAAAAATAAATTTAAAAAATTTTTTTGTGGTAAAAACGTTGGAAGGGAAAAGGCTAACATCTTATATGCAATTTTGAATATTTACCACAAAAAAATTTTTAAAATTTATTTTTTGAACCGATATCGTAAAAAAATACATCAAAGCATATTTAGATAGGAAATTTAATTCTGAGTTCAATGATATAAAAATTTAAAAAATTAAACTTAAGATGTTAGCCTTTTCCCTTCGAACGTTTTCGCGACAAAAATGTTATTTTTTGAACCGGAAACGTAAAAAAATACATCTAAGCATAATTGGATAGGAAATTTAATTCTGAGTAGAATGATATAAAAATATTCAAAATTGCATATAAGATGTTAGCCTTTTCCCTTCCAACGTTTTTACCACAAAAAAATTTTTAAAATTTATTTTTTGAACCGATATCGTAAAAAAATACATCAAAGCATATTTAGATAGGAAATTTAATTCTGAGTTCAATGATATAAAAATTTAAAAAATTAAACTTAAGATGTTAGCCTTTTCCCTTCGAACGTTTTCGCGACAAAAATGTTATTTTTTGAACCGGAAACGTAAAAAAATACATCTAAGCATAATTGGATAGGAAATTTAATTCTGAGTAGAATGATATAAAAATATTCAAAATTGCATATAAGATGTTAGCCTTTTCCCTTCCAACGTTTTTACCACAAAAAAATTTTTAAAATTTATTTTTTGAACCGATATCGTAAAAAAATACATCAAAGCATATTTAGATAGGAAATTTAATTCTGAGTTCAATGATATAAAAATTTAAAAAATTAAACTTAAGATGTTAGCCTTTTCCCTTCGAACGTTTTCGCGACAAAAATGTTATTTTTTGAACCGGAAACGTAAAAAAATACATCTAAGCATAATTGGATAGGAAATTTAATTCTGAGTAGAATGATATAAAAATATTCAAAATTGCATATAAGATGTTAGCCTTTTCCCTTCCAACGTTTTTACCACAAAAAAATTTTTAAAATTTATTTTTTGAACCGATATCGTAAAAAAATACATCAAAGCATATTTAGATAGGAAATTTAATTCTGAGTTCAATGATATAAAAATTTAAAAAATTAAACTTAAGATGTTAGCCTTTTCCCTTCGAACGTTTTCGCGACAAAAATGTTATTTTTTGAACCGGAAACGTAAAAAAATACATCTAAGCATAATTGGATAGGAAATTTAATTCTGAGTAGAATGATATAAAAATATTCAAAATTGCATATAAGATGTTAGCCTTTTCCCTTCCAACGTTTTTACCACAAAAAAATTTTTAAAATTTATTTTTTGAACCGATATCGTAAAAAAATACATCAAAGCATATTTAGATAGGAAATTTAATTCTGAGTTCAATGATATAAAAATTTAAAAAATTAAACTTAAGATGTTAGCCTTTTCCCTTCGAACGTTTTCGCGACAAAAATGTTATTTTTTGAACCGGAAACGTAAAAAAATACATCTAAGCATAATTGGATAGGAAATTTAATTCTGAGTAGAATGATATAAAAATATTCAAAATTGCATATAAGATGTTAGCCTTTTCCCTTCCAACGTTTTTACCACAAAAAAATTTTTAAAATTTATTTTTTGAACCGATATCGTAAAAAAATACATCAAAGCATATTTAGATAGGAAATTTAATTCTGAGTTCAATGATATAAAAATTTAAAAAATTAAACTTAAGATGTTAGCCTTTTCCCTTCGAACGTTTTCGCGACAAAAATGTTATTTTTTGAACCGGAAACGTAAAAAAATACATCTAAGCATAATTGGATAGGAAATTTAATTCTGAGTAGAATGATATAAAAATATTCAAAATTGCATATAAGATGTTAGCCTTTTCCCTAATCCAGTACTCACAATATCGTTATACTTACTATCAATTTAGTTTTGGAAAAAAACTTAAATAGAATATACATATAATTTTAAAAATTCCATTATTTTAAAATAACCAAATATAATTTAATTAAATAAATTAAAAATTAATGAAATTAAATAAAATTATAATCGCAATTTATTTCAAAGAATTAATAAAAAAATTGAAATATTATAATCCATTTTTTTAAAATAACCAAATATAATTTAATTAAAAATAAAAATTAAATAAAAATAAAACCGCAATTTATTTCAAAGAATTAATAAAAAAATTGAAAAGATCTTAAAATTTCCATTTTTTTAATATATTATATTCCATTTTTTTTAAATAAATAAATATAATTTAATTAAAAATATAAATTAAAAATTAATAAAATTAAAACCGCAATTTATTTCAAAGAATTAATAAAAAAATTGAAAAGATCTTAAAATTTCCATTTTTTTAATATATTATAATGTAATGTTATTATAATATTTTTCTCGTAAAAAAAGCAATAAATCAATCAAATTACACATTAATCATTTTCTTTGTTATTTTTATTTTCAATATTATTTTTTAGCCTTTCGTATCATGCAGCCTTTCGACTTATAGACCTACCCTAATAAAAATAATATTAATAATTTTAACGTAATAAAAATAATATTAATATTTTTAACGTAATAAAATAATATTAATATTTTTAACGTTATAAAAATTAATTTTTTTTTAACAGTCAGATTAGTTTTTTTAACATATTATAAAGATTAATTAAGTTTATTTAAGAATTTTGTATGAAAAATTTCAAGAGAAGCAATGCTTCCCTAGCTTCTATGGAAGCTTCGTCACTGGATCTGTATAATAGTTATATCGATCAAGATATTAGCTATATTTTATTCTATTCTATCATATATAAACATAAAATATTAAATATAATTTATTAATTTCTACACGAATGAAATTTTTTTATTGTTTGACCTTATTATTATTATATTTAAGATACTGTTGGTTCTTCCTATTCCAAAGCCTTTAAATTTTAAAACTCTTGGTCAAGATCTATCTTAGCTACAATTGACCCAATGGCAAATCTAAGTGCGTCTCTCAGCGCGCATTTATTAAATCTTACCATTATATTTTTTTATAATAAACAAGTCCTATTTATTTTAATATTAATAAAAAGAAGGAAGATTTTAAAAAAATACCAAATAAAATACATGCGTGAAGTTATGAAATCATAAAGTTTTTTTAGGAATTTACATTTTATTTTACCAATATTTTCGTTAGTAAATCAAGGTTTTACCATCAATTTAGCATAACGTTAATAAAATATTTAACTATTTTATTAAATCTCAAGAATGCGCGATATTTAATTATTTACATGTTATAATCTTATTTGTGAGAAATATAAATCATTAAAATATATTTACAAACAAACGCTAATCGTATACACAATAAATTAAATATAGAAGAAATTATCACAGAAGCTTAGCTATAATTTAAAAAAAACATTGACTGTGAAATATAAAAAAATATGATTTTCAAAAACATATTTAGAGCATTATGTCAGTCACTATTGATTATATTCTTTAAATCTCTTTTCATTTTCAAACACCTCTCATAAATATGTAACGTGATCTATGTTATCATAATTTGAAAAGAGGTGAAATAATTTTGGGTAATTTGTCTTTCAAAATTTTTAAAGCTTTTGATGCCAATCGGTGCCTATTGTAACGCTTAGCGTTCAGTATAATATCCCTTAGAAGATATGCGTGAAGTAACGGGTAATATTTTAGCGAATTGTGATTAGCGAAAATTTCAGCATCTGTTAAAAAAAATAAAATATATATGTAATTAAAATAATTGATCAATGGTCTGCAAATGGTAAGATTCTCAAGTCCGCCATACCGTTATAATTAGCTATCGTAATACCATTATAATAAAGTTTTATTATTCTCCAGCAATAGCTCACACATTTCTGCACTAGCATAGGACTAAGAACAATAGCTGCTGCATAAAAACAATTGTATTGTACATTATAAAATTTTTAAATTTATTTTTTGACCTAATTTCAAACGTTTAAATAATAAAAATATCATTCGAAGAAGATTTTTCTCCCCTTTTTCCTTTTATTATGCTTCACAATTTTTCAAATTTGATATAATTAATTATTTAAACTTTATTAATAATTGGTGTGTAAAATTTAATATACAATTTTAAACCTGTATAGGTAATTATATTAGTTACAATTAGATAAAGAGCCCCCTGTAATGGAATGTATAATTTTATCCCATAATACATAATAATCATTATTTACAATTATAGATTTCTTTGATTAGTCGGTTGTTAGTTTATGTTATATTTATTCCTTTCTCCTTTATGTTTTACAATTTTTCAAATTTAATATAACAATTATTAATAAAATCGAATTATGATAGTGAAGATTAAAATTTAATATTAACAAATTATATTTATGAAGATTAATATCTCCCTATGTAATGTAACTTTTAACCCATTATATGAAATTATAATTAAAGAATGGAGAGTAATATTGATCCCCTCTCTCCCTTTTTTGGAATTGATTAATTATTGTTATTTTAATACTTCAATAAATAACCACAAAATTCATTCATAGTTGTAGTATAATATGATTAAAACCATTTAATGTTCACGCAAAATTATTTATAGACATTTTTTTGTTTAAACCGATACATGTAATATTATATATGTTATGTTAAAAGTTAAACTTAAGGACATATTATATTAATTTGTTAATCGATGACATTATAAATTGAATACCATCTCACTTAATCTTTATACATATTATATTATGAAAAAATAAAGTATATCTCAGATAAGCATTTTTATAATAATGTATTTTAATAAATATATAAAGTGCCCTGAAAATATATGTAAGAAAATTATAGAAATGCTTATATTATAAAATATAGTCAATGTCATTCTATTTTTGTAAAATAAAATTTATTATCACCTAATATTCTATTATATGTTATTTTTAACCCTTGAGAGGTAAGGTAGAAAAAAAATAAAAAGTATGGCATTTTACACGTATTTAAGCATTCTTTCTATAACAATTACCTCAAGATCTTTATTCTTGTAACTTAAGGCCCATAAAGCAATCGCCGAAGAGACTATTTAAATTGGTATATATAGGTTTTAGTGTTATTTAAATAGCCTAACTTAGAGAGCTATAAAAGGATTATTTTTCTTATATCTTAATTTTTAAAATCAAAAATAGATTTAAATATAATCGGGCAGTCTTAAAAAATATACACTTTCTACAGCTGTGATATATATTTTTTTATACGAACCATGTACATCATTCCTGATGAGTTTACGACACAAGTATTTCAATTTTCGGAACCGTTTGAGACTAGCTTTATCGAATATGTCCCTCATTTCCATTCCGTTAAGATAAAATTCGAGGTTTTCACGATCGACTATATTTTCGAAAATATCTGAATTGACATGTTGGTAGAAATTATCGGTCTTCATGTGTCTATGAATCTTTTTGATTAAGTATTCGTGTGGTATGACATCTCTAGTAGAATGAAGCAATATTTTAACGAACAGCTTTTTATCCTCACTCCATGTGGAGTTTGAAGATTCGTGTTGAATATCGATTCTGAGCTGGTTATCGAAGGGCTCCAATTGGTCTTCGTTCATATCTAATACAAACAAGATAATGATATATTTACAAAAGAGAAACATTTTTCGCATAGGAAAAAAAATTTCAAATAAAAACTTTCATCATCTAAGGTTAAGAATCTAGTGAAAAAAATAATCCTTTTTTAAAAAAAGTTAATTAATTAAAAATATATCTCAAAAGATATTGTTTATATAACCCCATATTAGACAAGATCACATTTTAACGATGTTTTTTTAATAAAAAATAACTTTAGATCACCTTCAAAGTTAATTCATATAAATTATTATCTAGTGATTAAATATAATCAGCACTTAACAAAATGGGTGCTTTACCGATATTAATTTCCAGCTGCGCCTCTTGATAGGTTGGCTCCTGAACTCCGTGAGGAGGAGAGGATGTGATGGATAAAGTATTTGCATTCTTATCATCCGTCATCTCACTATCGATATCTGTAATGACGTTATCATCTGATTCAGAATCAGCGGGTTTCAGATCAAAATCAAGATTCATATTCGAACAATTATTACCTCTCAAATGAGAAGGAACATATTTATAATCACTAGGTATGGGGCCAGACCAAGTCCTAAACCGCTTAGACGTTTTTAAGGTTTTATTTAGATGTAAGGGTTGAAGGGGTGAATTTAAAGGACTCGGAAGCAAAGAAGTGTTAACCATAGTGTTTGACGTTGTTGTGGTAGTCCACATTTCATTATCTGTTTCATCCACCATCATACTTCGCTATAAAATTATGGATAGATGATTATTCAGTATTTTAGATTTATAAAGGTAAAATAAGGTCTCATTTATAGTAACTGCAAAATACATTTCAAGCTATGCGTAATTTACAAAATACATTATGTTAAATTTTATAGCTATGCTATCATTTAGCAATGAATTACACCTTACTTATGCGACATTTCGGTTACTATTCTATATACGAGACCTAAGGCTCTAGGAGACATGTATATATAGTCCTTTTTGGCACCAATAATTCAACCCATTTTAATAATGTTATAAAAACCTTGTCAACTTTGAAAGGATTACCGAACAAATGTTGCCTAACCACGGTATTAGTATTATCCAGTTGTCTCAAGGGTATTTCGTTCTTCTTTAAGTAGTCTTGGTAGTTACCCATCTGATTTATGGGTAATTGATTTTCTATCACAATACATACAAATAAATCGGAACATTAATTAATATAATATAGCATTAAAAAAAGATAGCCTGATTAAAATATCAAGAAAAATTTATTGAATAGGTAATTTCAAATTATTTGCAATAGTGAATAAAAATTAAATTAAAATGAGTAAAAGATTTTTAAAGTCAGGATAAATATATCAATGAAAAAAAGTTTTGAAAAAAAAGTAAATAGAAACTTTCAAAATTGTATTTCGTTAAGGGATAACTGTGCTGCAAAGACCGATGAACGTTAGGCAGATTTAATTTACACCAAGGATCGTTCAACAAAGAGTTCCTTAAGGTTTTGAGGGTAGAGAGCAAATTGCACTTGCGAATGATGGGGTCTCTTGAAAAATTGATTATGATCATAAAAAGCAACAGCTGTATATATAAAGTTATAATTACAAAAAATAGAGGGTTTTGATAGACTCACTTATTTCTATTCCTATCGGTTAAATTCAACACGAAAATATTGTTCACAGCTTCTAAGTTGTCTTCTTTATTCTTGTCGTTTACAGGCTGTGTTTGTGCATCGAATATGGGCCGGGACAAAAATTTTTTGAGAAAACTATTTTCTTCGTCGGTGGATGTCATGATTGGTTTGACGGGTAATTTGAGGGTAAACTGAATGGGGCATAATGGATCTGCTTTGAAAGGAAAGGGCCGTTTGTTTGATATGCTAGCGATTATCTGATCGTACTCTATTTTGGCCTAAGAATAGTTTTGAAAAAAATATATCAAATAAACTATCCGTTCCGCATTCAAGATATTTAAAAAAAATAATTTCTAAATTATAAAAAAAGGTTTTCATGAGGAAAAGGGTTAAGAAAATATCGCATAAGGTTTAGCATCATCCCCAAGCATCGTAACGGAATAGTAATATACTCATTTTTAGGAAAAAAAATGAATTTAAGTGTAATTATTAAATTTACTGCTCATATTTTTTTAAGATTAGGCATATGTAAATCATTTTAAAATAAATTTACGATAAATTTTTAACTTTTAAATTCAGGTGTTAATGATTGCGAAATTTAATTTGTATTTTAAAATACAAAAATATGTTTTCATAATGAGCAAAAGCATCAAAAAATAAATAATGTAAACGTAAAATATAAATCAAAGAATTGGCAGTATCAGAGGGATCCGTAAAACGATATTAACTATTATTATTTACAGAACCGAAACCGATAATTATCACCTGAACCTGAACCGCTAAAAAGATAAGCAAAGCGAGTTGATCCTTTTGATATCCTAACTCCTTTAACAATTATTAATAATAATTTATGATAAATATAAGTACTATTTTATATATTTTTGTATATTGCTATTTATGATCGCTCTCAACCATATAATCCCCCCCCCCCTTATAGATATAATTTGACAGTAGAGAATCTTGAAGATATTTTAGTGCTATATAGCGAAATCTACTTTTTAGGAAATAGTGATATAAAAAAAACGTGCTTCGCATTGCAATAATTCTTATAGGTTTATGGATTCAAAAAAGTTTTGAAACGATTTTGTACGATTCAAGTAGGACCGATATCATTCTTTACGAAACAAACCTGAACTTAAACCGATATTCGGATCGGTATGGTTAGGATTCTTGAGTACAAGAATATGTAATCATATGAATAGGCATAAAATTATGGAATTAGGAATCTTCATTTGAAAAAGAAATTCGATAATTTTTACTTCTGTGAAACGATAATATCTTAATGGATTACCATATGTTTAAAAAAAATATATAATCCAGCTTTGCATATAGGGTTACTAAAAAATATTTAAGTGCGTTGCTAATTCAAATACCTGCTTCTGAAGAATAATTTATTTTTTTCTTACTATCTTATAAGAATTACTTATTTTTTAAAGTAATTTTTTCGAAGGTGTTGAAAATGATTTTTAATTGAAAAAAAATTTGTTAATATAATTTCAATGTCGCGTTTTCCAGCAAAATATTTTTTTTTTAAAAAATGGGAAATAACCTGATTTTTTATTTTCTTCAAATAAGTTATAACATCGTAACTGAGTCCACTGCTTTCGTTCATGTTTTCTAAAATGACGGTGAATTGCTGTAAACCCATCTTTTGAAAGGCCTTTTTCAAAGGCTTTTGAATTATTTAAAAAAATATATATAATTGGTTTTATTATTCTCGTTGTTATTAGCAGGATATGATGACACCTGATATCACTGGCGTATCTAGGATTTTACTATGGAAAGAGGGGTACTATTCGGTGAATTTTTTATCCATAAATTTTGTTGGATCTCTTTAGGTCCACTTATTGTAGGTCTTTGACTATATTAGATTTTTATAAAACTAATTTTGGGTTTTTACTTTTTTTTTGTTAAAATGCCTTTTCTAGATTTTAAAATATAGTCGTTATTTATTATTAATTTTTATAAATTTTTCTTTCAAATTCTTACTTATAATTATATATTATTTTTTGGGGAGAGGTGGGTAGGGGATGTGATGGGGGAAAATTTTTTATTAGCTTAAAATAATATTTACGAAAACAGGGTAATTTGCGATGGAGAGGGGGAGATTCCCCTTTTCCCCCAATTGGTTATACGCCTGCCTGATATCAATTAAAGAAAATGTTTTTATATCTTAAAATTTTTTATGTAAAGCAACCTAGATTTAAAGAAAGAGAAAAAAATATTTATAATTAAACCATAAATATTATATTATTAAATTATAGTTTTCATATTATTTTTCGGAATGTTTGGAACTGTTTCTGGAAAGTTTCCGGAATCAATGTTTCCGTTCCAGCGTTAAAAGAAATTCATTCCATGTCCCTGGTTATAATATTGCATTAGGAAGGAGTCAATATATAGAATAAATATATAGTTATCTCATTGAAACTAGAAATACAGAACTTAGGCCATTTCTAGATGGAACTTTTTTTAAAGTTTTCTAGGCATGTTTCAAGAATTTTTTTATTTATAGCCATACAATGGGATTATATTTGGTTAAATTAATTTTTTATTCTTGATAATATAAATTTCCCCCTATTTAAATCGTTATGAAAATCATTTATCTTTTATTAACGATAAAATGGCGTTTTAAAGAGATTGCGTGAAACATTTTTCAAAAATATTTGATCACGCAGAAAAATTAAATTCGACATATTATTATCTTGTTTGGAAATAAATACAAAAAAATTTTGCTGGAAACATGCCTAGAAAACTGATTTGAAAAAACTTTCTGCCTGGAATTTGCCTTATACTGGGATTCAATACTTATATAATTTTTTTTAAAAAACAACAATATTCATTAAGCATTAAATCGCTGAATTATAAATCATATGAAAATTTTTTTAAAAATATATTTACTGAAATATAGTAGGCTGGAATCTGGCTAATGTAAGTGTCAAATTTATTTCTCCAATTCGGGTTAGGTTTAAATTTATTGACGTTAACCATTTCATCTAAAAGATAACAATAATTATAATATGATAATAATATCTTATATTAAGATAAAAACCTTTTTAATTTAAAAATGTTCCTAGTTTTTTTTTAAAGAATATAATATTTAACTAAAGTAAACCAATCAAATCGATCAAGACGGGATAATTGAAGGTCGAAATACAGAGATAACACACGTAGCTGGTCCTGTTTACCCCGTTAGAAGGGGGCTGAATGGGACAGAATTTAATGTAACCAAAAGGAATAATATCTTGCTCGTCACTTTTGTTGTTTTTGATAAGCAATTCTACCTAAAATTTTGATAAAAATATTAATAGAATTTAAATTTGAATAAAATATCTCTTCAAATATGATCTAAATTTAGATGCATATTATATGGAATGAAGATATCATATTAACATAATATACAAAAAATTTAAGAAAATATTTAGATCAATTTATTTACATTTCACGCCAATATACGTATTTTTTAATCTAAACAACCCAAATAAAACTATTTCCCAGAAAGAGTTTTCTACACATATTCATTGAAAGAGGAAAAAGGAGCTTAAAAAAATATTATTGGAAAGTATATTTAACGACCCCCTTCTAAGGAAAAACAAAAAATATGTCAGGTAGTCATCTATAATAAACTCCTCCTCCCACTTTCCCCACTTTTATTAGTGTCTTTTTTAAGATTATTACTCTGAAGCAATTAAAAGTGTTGTCTGGAGGATCCTTGAAACCGTTTTCATTGAAGTAGCTAGCAATGTATTGAGTCAAAGGACCCATCTCTATTTCGTAATAATCAGTGGGAAAATTTTGACATTTTTTCGTGATTTGGCTATCTTCGCTAAATGGTATACTGGTATTAACTCTCAGATTAGGGATAGAACTCCTGACCGGCTTAATTTATTTGGAATAAAATTAAAGTTAGGTTTTCATTTTAGAAATAAGTTTAAAAATAATTTATAAAACAACATCACGTAGAACTAACGAATGTGAGGAAATATATTAAGTTTGTAATGAAAATCTAAAAAAAGTGAAAAAATAAGTGTGGAAAGATTGCAAAAAACTAATCCTCTAAAAAAATATAAATTCAGGAAGAAAAATAATATGCCAGACTGTTAAAACTAAGGGAAAAATTTGCCAAAAAATAATTCAAGGATAGTCTTGAAATTGATTAGGTTTTAAAAATAGGAAGAAAACTTGTTTTCGAAGGTAAAGTTAATAATATAAAAGAAATCAAAAGATATATTTAAAATACTATTTAAAAATAAAATCCGATTCATTATAGGGTAGACCGAGGATATATGACAGGTGTTATGTCTTTTGAGATAAAATTTTATTTTTTAAAATTATACTAATAATATTATTGAATAACTTAATTATTAGACTACAAAATTTAAAAAACCGGAGTTTTCTATCTTTTATACTGTGGTATATAGGACAAGGTAAAAGTTGCGTTTTTTACTATATACCAATGACCCTGGGTAAGATGGCAAACATCAAATTTAACCCATAAAACACAAATTTATTCATTTTTAATGTTATAATTAATTAAAACATATTAATAATATTTAAAAAAATAGTCATAAAGATACACATAAAATGGATAATTTCCAGAACTATTAGTGCATTACATCAAATCTTCATGTTTTTTTAAAATATTTTGTGGGTTGTTTCCCTAGAAAATCTGCTTAACAAATTTGCCACTTTATTCCTTGCTATAAAGCCCTTGGGGTAGGGTAGTGAGCAGGGTTGCCATGTCAAAATTTTCAAATTGCGGGAGAAATTTGGTATTATGCGGGAGAAATATAAAAATTGCTAACGGGCCTATCCGCATATTATTTTTATAATTAGTTTATATAAATACAAAGTCGGTAACTATTTTTCAAAATAAAATAACATCTTGATTTATTAAAATATATTAATTTATAAAAAAAAAACAACGATCTTTTTTAAATATAAAAGAATGTAAACAAGATAAAAAATTTTATATAAAAAAACGATTTTAATTTTACAATTAAAAATATATTTTATGCAAATGTCCCGCAAAACGACCGCAATTGGAAATCTATCGTGTGTGTGTATAACATTATAGGGATAGGCGCTTAATTATCACTTATCACGTTTAAATACATAGAAGGTACTCCAAAAATAAGAAAGAATACAGATTCAACTACAGTTGCGCCAATTGTAATCACTTATCTCGTAGTACAACATTCACAGAGATACTTATCATCACAATGTTGGTAGAATCTTTTCCCCATAATATTTAACGACTCTAATATAAATGAAAACTATATTTGTAGAACAAAAATGAGCAAGGCTATCATCAATGTTTTAGGACCTAAATCCAGGAGTCAATTCTTGACGATTTGAAAGATGGGCATACATATGCAATTCTGACAGATGCATCTTATAAGAGAAATATTCTTGATCCTCCGCTATTTCAATAAAATTAAGGTCTTTTCAATAAAACTATTATATTTTTTCCCCTCAAATAGTAAAAAATTCAAAGACATAGCTAATTATATAATGGTAAATATAGATTCGAGATTATCAATAAATTGCAAGTCAACTTTCTGATTTGATAATGCCTCAGTGAATATGGTAAAAACAGAGTGTATTTACAGAATTGAGTCAGCACAATGTTGGTTGCGATATGTTCCTAATACCCGCCATCGATAGAATTTTAAAATTTTATAAACCTTTAAAAAAATTTTCTTAAATAAAGATTATAAAAGCTGTCCTAATACTTTGAAATTTTTTTTCAATAATGAATGGCAGAGGTATATTTAGGAATGATTTCACATGTAGGAAATCTACTACATGCTGTTAATGTGTAGTTGCAATCAGAAGAATCTCAACAAAGATTCACAAAATTATGCTGCAGATGTGTTCATCTTCACAGTTAAAAATTGACAATAAATTTTATGGCGCCATTGCTAAAACTTAATTATATTTTATTTGAGATTTAAATAATAGAACTAAATGTTTATCGTCGTTATTGAGATATTTATATGGCGAATCATTAAAAATAGAGAGAATTACAATTTCCTCAAACAAGACATCAATGTTTCGGTATTTTTAATATATTTATTAAATTATAAAAACCATCAATTGATGGTTTCTGTTCCAAGGTCATAATATTTATACATTTGTAAATAGTTATTAAAATCAAATTTTGATTGTAAATATTCTAAAATTGTCTTAATAAAAATATCTGTTTCATTTAAAAATATATTAATTAGAGTATTATTTGAACATTTTAATATAATATTTTTAGCAATAGCCCCATAAAATTTATTATCAATTTTTAATTGTAGAGATGAACAGAGCTGTAACATGATTTTGTGAATCTTTTCTATTAAAGAATATTCTGATTGCAACCTAATATTAACTACATGAAGTCGATTTCCTACATGTGAAACGAATCCCAAATATGCTTCTTCCATTTCATACTCGAAAAAATTTTTCAAAATTTTAGGACAGCTTTTAAAATCTCTATTTAAGAAGTATTTTTTTAAGGGTTAGTAAAATTTTAAAATTCTATCGATGGCAGGTATTAATGACAACCACCTGATAGGTATATATCGCAACAACTCACATCATTCCAAGTCAGACCACTTCACCAACTCTTTTAATTCATTAACTCTTTTAGTTGATAAGCTAAATTCGTTAAAACATTTCATCACAATTATTACGACATCCACAGATAGTACATTCATTGCCTTCTTGCAAGAATTATGTAGTATATGGCATATACAGCCAATTGGTATTAATTCATTATTGTGCTGCCCCACTTCGGTAACTTTGGGTTTTGCCAAAATTTACAGAGGCATTATCAGCGCAGAAAGCTGATATGCAAATCATTGATAACTCTGAATCAGCTATATTTAAATTATGTGGCTAGCTACATTGTTGGATTTTTCTCCGAGGAAAATTTTTTAACAGTTTTATTAAAATGTTCTTATTCTTGTTGAAATAGCGAAGGATCTTAGATGCATCTGTTGCATATAGATATGCCCATTTTTCAAATCGTCTAGAATTGACTCTAGGATTCAGATACTAAAACACTTGTGATAGCCTTGCTCATTTTTGTTCTGCCACAAGTAAGGTTTGCACTTATATTGGAGTCGTTAGATATCATGAGAAAAAGATTCGACCCACATTGTGATGATATAGCTCTGTGAATGTTGAACTACATGATAGATGTATACGATTTCCACAAATGTAGTTGCATCTGTATTATTTATTATTTTTGAGAATATTTTTGTATTGCAATCGATGTTGCTCCCCTGTACTGACTTATATGAATGAAAGATTTATTATCGGATAAAAATAAAACAGGATAAAAAGAAATTTACAAACTAGACATGTTTTTCACATAAATATTTAAAATATATTTTAAAAATAATCAATTAATGTCTCTCAAAATTATTATTTATATATTAAAAACGTTAAAATACTAAAATAAAAAATTGCGGTAGATTTCCAATTGCGGTAATTTTGCGGGAGAGAGATGTCTGCGTGTAAACTAAAAAATTGCGGGAGTCTCCCGTTCATGGGGGGAGACATGGCAACCCTGGTAGTGAGTAAACTTAAACAGTTATAGAATGTTTGTAAATAAGCTAAAACATTAGGACCATTCAGCGACATAGAATTTGAAGCATATATCATAAATTTCATTAAATTAGAATAAGTCAATAAGTATTTTTGCCTCGAAACAAAAATTACCAGATAAAAAAGTTGGAGAAAAGGCCTAAAAAATCATTTGTGATCCAGTATCTATTGAAGATGGATCTCCCACCACTAGAACATATAGTAGATAGTATGTCTAGAAATGCAACCCCCAAAATAAAAAAGTTAGATGTTTACCTTTTAACCCCCCCCCCCTGGCATATAGCCCCAGTCTCCCTTACATTTATAATTGAGCTTAACATAATTATTATTTTATTAAGTTACCAAACAATTGTGATCTATGATATAGTTTGGGTAAAAAGATTCAGGAATAGGCCAAATATTGTTAGAATTTATAGACTTTGGATTAACATATAAATTGGTAATGAGGTTAGCTCTATTTTCTTGATTTTGATGGCTGAAAAATAAAATTAATGGTGCAATTACAAATGATCAAAAGAAAAATAATATATCATTATCATTTACCTTTAATATAATAAAATTAAATATTTTATAAAATTTTAATTAAATGCCATTCATTATTTTATAAAAAAATTCAAAAATATATAAAATAAAACTTTTCAGTTTGAACATTCAAATTTTTATCATTGGACACATTTACAAATATTGTATCCTTTATCCTCATATCAACATCTTCCAAAGGAAACTGAGAATCATTATTTGTCATAAGTATAGAAAAAGGTGGGGCAGGAGGTGGAACCATAAAAAATAAATTATTTCCAATTTTTTCATTGACATGATTATCATTAGATATTATGTTAAAGGTTGAAGTGACTTTTGGTGGCTGTAATTTTTGCAAAAGCCATTCCAAATAAGGGTTGAGACATGTAGGATGGTGTAATAAATAATTATTAGCTTTAATTAAATATAAAAGTCATGTATCAGATTATTGATACCTCCTGTCATTTCACATAATTTGTTTAAACTTTTGTATTTTTCATTAAGCTCTTCATTATTAAGATTATTGATAGATATAATTCCTGGAATGGATAAAATAATAGAATAGAACTTTTGATCCCATCTAAAAGGATGAGATATAAGCTCATTTCCCAATATGGTTGATTTATTATTCAGTGTGTTCAACTATAAATAATTTAGAATAAATAAGTATATAATTAATGTTAAACTTTTTCTAAAAGTGATGTGTTTGTTTTAATAAATGCTCCATCACTAATAAAAATAATGATTGAATATTCTAAGTAAAATAAACATCTTCCCTTAATTAGATAGCAAAGATAAATATTGCTTGATAAATTAAATATACTTGTCCATATGTATCTATTCCTGACATCAATCGGTTAATATTTAAAAGATCAAAGGCCTGTTTTAGTGCTAAACTAATGTTTGGAAGTGTATATGCTTTTAAATTTTTTAGCTCTTGATTAAAAGTAGAATGATTTTCTCTCCACCCTGCCTATATACGATTTAACGTAATATAGTAAAATTTGTAAAACCTTAATATTATATGGATATTCTTCTGTCGTAAGTAACATGTAACGATCGCCTCTACTTGATATGTCTTTAGCTCTAAGCTAAATATATATTTAAAAATTTTACATAAAGATTGTATAACTTTCAAAAATAATTCTATTGTGGTTTTTGCGATATCCAAGTAGGTTGTTCCTGCGAATGTTTTTTGATTCATAGAAAAACTAGTATCAACGATAAACATTATTATAGTCATTGCGAACAAAACAGACAAATCGTAAAAAATTTGGGATAAAAGGCACATTGATTGACAGTTATATATTTTTTAATTAAATATTTTTTTCGATTGTTAATTTTATTTTTACTAAATTTTAACTCTTTTCACTAAAACTTACTATTCCCAATTATACTATTTATCGTATCACTTGTCGGATCCTCCACTTTTATCTACATCCTAGAGTTGCAATCCTACCTAGTTGTCCAAAATATAAACCTGCATATGGAGACATCGTTGAAAAGAAGATTTAGAATTGATAGCGGGTTTAATGATAAGCTAATTAGTGGAATCAGGAACAGATTGACATTCTCCTTAAGGTTGACAGTGGTCGAAAACATTGACATTATCGTAGAAGCAAGGGAAGCATTGCTTCCCATGAAATTTTTCTTACAAAATTCTTAAATAAACTTAATATAATCTTTATGCCATGCTAAATAAACTAAATTGACTTCGATAAAAAAAAATATAATTTTTATAACGTTAAAAAGATTAATATTATTTTTACTATATTAAGAAATACTATTATTTTTACTACATTAAAAATTTTATTATTATTTTTACTACGTTAAAAAAATATACATGAGGGAAGCAAATTTAATATTACTTATTTTTTAATAAATATACCATTAAAAAATAAGCATTGGGGAAGCAAATAAAAAAATGCTTACTTTTTTTTAATAAATAAAAGAAAAAGAAATTTTTTTATATAATATATTTTCCTTACTTTTTTTAAAGAAAAAATTTTTTCGTTTTTAAAAATCCTTAATTAATGTTTAATAATTGTAATTGTATTATTGAAAATTTATTAACATTATCATTTAACTCAAGAAATTTTGATGCGAAAAAATTGATTATTAGAAAAGGAAGACCAAAACCAATTTTACAAAACTTAAAAAGAAATCAAAACTTGCATCCTTAATTTTTCCATCGATAAATATGAAAAATATGAATGGCTCACTGGATGTGATTTTTCTAATTCTATATATTGTTGGTCATGTTTATTATTCCCAAAGGAAAAATATGTTTGGAATGATAAAGGATTTTCGGATTTGAATAATTTTATAAAGGCAGTTAAACAGCATGAAGAATCAACCGCTCATTTGCAGTCGATGATTCAATTAAAAACATTTGGCTAAAAATCGTATAAAAATATGATAGATTCGATGCGCAAAATATCAATTGAACAGCATAATTCGAAAGTCATATCAAATAGAGAAATATTGAAAATATTGATCAACTCTATATGTTTTCTTGGAATTCAGGAGCTCGCATTCCGTGGTGATGATGAATCTTCTAATTCAGTAAATACATGAAATTATATTGAATTAATTTATTTGTTGGTGAAGAAAATTTACTATCGAAACATCATTTAGAAATAGTTTTTATTGATCAAGCTATAATCAAAATGATTTAATAAATTCTATTTCATAAGTCTTACACCAAAAAATATTAAATCGATTAGAAGAAACGGAATCTATATCAATAATATTGGATGAAACAACAGATATCAATAATAAATCTCAACTGGCTATAGTTCTTCTTCGATATTTTTTAAATAATGGGACATTGTATGAAAGATTTATTGAATTGTTTGATGTTACTATGCATCGAGATGCTAATTTTTTATCAAAATTTGTCATTAAATTCTTGAATAAAAAAAAAATTATTAGTTCAATGTTACGTTGGCATCTGTTATGACAGGCGATTCACATGGGCTACAAGCGAAAATCAGAGACATCAATTCTTTATTACTTTATATTCATTGCTTTCCCCATAAGTTAAATCTTATATTATCAAAACCTTACATCAAAATTAAAGAATGTAAGGTTTTTTTGCAACTTTACCTGGTTTAGCCATTTTTTAGTACATCATCTAAACGAACAGCGGAATTTGATAAATATGTCAAAAGAGGTTACCACGAGTAGCCCAAACGAGATGGGAATACAATGGTCGGCCGGCTGGTTCAAACAGTTTTCAATTATTTGAAGGATCTAGTTGTTTTTTTTTGAAAGTATGATTGATGAAGAATCTGATATTGATGTTCTCATAACATCTCGTAGCTATTAAATATATATATTTAATGATGCAAATTTTCTAATTTTATTACATTTTTTTCAAGAAATTTTTCCAGAATCTGATTTATTATTTGATATACTTAAAACTAAAATCAACGATATATCTTATTGTCTTAAAAGTATTAACGATTTCAGAAATTCAGTTAAATCAAGCATAGAAAACTTTGATGTGTTTTGGAGAAATTTAAATATAAAAGAAAATATTGAAGACAATTTAGATAAAAAACGTAATAGAACCGGATTGCCCAATACAAAAGAATTTTATAAAAATTGAATAATTAAAATAACAGATAATATAATCAATGAAATTGATTTTCGGTTGGATACATTAAAAAATATCAAATTCGTCGAATTGTTAGATATTAGTAAATTCCAAATATTTAATCAAAATTTCCCAAAATATTTATTAGATAATTTAAACGAAACTTATTCTCAATTTTTCGACTTGCAGAAGCTGGAAACCGAATTAAAGGTAGTGTTTCGGTACGATGAATTTAGAAAGAAAAAGAATGTTAATAAAATACTTGAATTTTTAATATGCACCGATTTGATAAAAAGTTTTAATGAGTTTTGCAAATTCATCTTAACTTTGGCTTCAACAACAGCAAGTGCAAAACAGAGTTTTTCATCTTTATAAAGAATTAAATCTTATTGCAGAAACAAGATTAGCCAAAATCGATTATCGAATCTATCTTTGATTTCGATTGAAAAAAAATTATTAAAAAATTTAAAATCTAGCGATAACTTTTATAATGCTGTACTTGATCATTTTACTCAAAAACAAAGACAAATACCATTTATTTATAAATTTTAATGTTTTTACGGTTTGAGTTTGACTAAAATAAAAATAAACTTTTTTTTGATTGCTTTCCTAGTAGTAAACTTGACGCTTCGTCACTGGTATAAAGCATATGTCTCCAAGACCCAGAAAAATATATTTGCTATTATATATCGAGGTGTTGTTAAAATAAATAAACCTTTAGTAAATTGACTTAATAAAAAATTTTTCTTGCAACTGGGCGAAAATTTAAATGGTTACCATTTACTAGAATACGAAAGATTTTGGGTAGTGTGATAGGATAAAATGTACTAAGGAGATTAATTCGAAATTTAAATTACAATTATAATGAAATGGATATTCAATGGAAGGAACCGTTTTGATAATAGTGGAGGAAAATGCGTTTGCAGGGAGATATAAAATAAAAAGAACAAAACGACAGCGACATTTGCTAAAGACTGACAAATGCAATAAGTGTTCTAAATAATTATGGATGTAGATGCAAAAATAAAAATATATTTTTTTAAATATGATTTGTATAATATTTTGTTTTGTATTGTTAGGAGAAACTTGTAATGTATCCAATTTACGATGTTTGTTAATATTAAAATAATGCAATATATTTAATTCCTTTTTTGTGCTGTAATTATTACTTTATTTGAGTATAAAGTAAAGTATAAACTTCAAAAACCATATATAATCTTGAATATAATGTGTCGTTTGTCAGCAATGCGTAATCAATTCCATATGGGGATACCTTATAAATTGTATATTAGGTATTTTACACATTATGGAATACATTTTAGAAAAAATCAGATTTTTTCAAATTAAAAAAAAATGGTCTAAATGATTTAAAGTTGACAAAAGCAAAATATTTTGTTGGGTGTATTTTTTAAATTTGAAGATCTGATTTTTTCCGAAAATGTTTTCTAATATGTGTAATCTTTACCCAATTGCATCCTAAAATTTATTAAAACAACACAGATTGACTGAAATATTAATCAGGAAATACCCGTTTTGACTGATTACGTATAATGCCGATAAAATATAAAATAATTAATCATTAAATAAAAGGTTGGTCATTTTTTTAGCAATATGATATGGAATATTATTAATTGTGCAAACATAAATCCAATCAATTTGAATAATCTTATGCATGACTTAGCATTAGAAATTTTTAAAAAAAATAACTCTTTCACGATTCGTTAATGCCAAATAAACTAAAAATGATAAATGAACCTTATTAAATACGTAACTCACAGAAAAATATTTAATCAAATATGGGATTTTTAAAATTTTAATACATTTCTTAACTAGTCTTGTCATACAAACAAAGCTGCGCCCTTTCCTAAATACATGGTTTTTCTTAAGGCTCCTCCTATTATTTCTTCCAGTTTGATGGGATTTAAGGAATTTAGCGTCGCTTTGTATTATTTACAATTTAGAAAGCTAGGCGCTTTAATATCACGTATTGAATTATTTACAAACCTATTAAGCTATGATTATAGTTTTAGAAAGGATATAAATTCGTTGTTAGATTGAATAAATTTCTTTTGGTCATATTGATAGATATAAATTCAGTCATACTATAGGAGTAGCTAGAGGGGTGGGCAAAGTAACTCCCCTTCAGAAATTTGCATGGTCTCGTTAATATCATTTTAAGTTATAAAAAATTTTCCCAATACAGAGCCCCTCTTCCCTCTAAAAATATATGCCATACATATATCACCATAAACAATATTTAAATAATATTTTAAAATAACGACTATAATTTAAATCTTCAGGAAAAATGCATTCTTATAAAAAACTTGAAAAATCAAAAATATTTTTACAAAATATAACATAGCCAAGGGTCTACAATAAATGGACCTAAATACTTCTAATAAAAATTATGACTGAAATCCTCATTTAATAAAACCCCCATCCTTATCAAAATGTTACGCATATGAGCCGGACTAGATAATAAGGATTTTTTGCTTTAATGGGAAAATAAATTTCTGATCACAATCTCCGAACTCATATTATCCCAGTTCCAGGAGCTGCCTTAAATATTTTTTCTAAATTTTTTATCCAATATATTATTTGTCATTGTCAACAATCTTAGTAATTGATCATTTTAAAAAATATCTCCCGTTCTACCACGATC